GTTCTGTCCTGTTCATGATTTCATAACTGTGGTTTTGTTCGCTTGCCTCCATTTGGGGAATGGATTGTGGGTGGTGAAATGTGCTGCAGAGTGCAGATACTGCAAGGCCTTAACCAAATAAGGAAAGGCAAATATATTATCATTTAATACTCAAATGAAATCTTTTGGGTGAAGCATCTTCCTTGGCATAAAATAGTCTGTTGTTTTTAATTGCAGTATACTGATGTCAATGTGTTAGGAATTTAGCAATTTGAACTATGAATAGTTTTATGAGACCACTGGCATTGCTAGTTAGTTTTTAGTCTAGGGATTTCTTACCAGTAGAAATGCTTTATGTATATGGACCTGTTTTAATGGACATGAGGCATTTTCGGCCTGAGTTTGTGTTGTTATTTGTATTGCACTCTGATAGAAGTAATGGATTCATTACTTATTTTTATTTACAGCGGAATTAATGGTTCTTGTGTGTTGGTTCAGAAGGGAAATGAGGAGCTTGCTCTTGCTTCTGGGGAACAGGTGGAGTCTGGTAGCAATGGTGGAAATAAAGTTACTTCAGGTTCAAAAGGAAGTGGTACGAATAGTGTCAGTATTATTTACACAGATGAATTTGATACCTCTGCGGCTTCTCTAAACATGGTATACCCTCTTTGTACATTCAACAGTTTCAGGAGCAGTAATCTTTTGATCGATAGCTTGGAGTAGCATTTAACACATTTGGTTTACTTTGATCTAATGTAGGCCATCATTTGGTTCGACCTTCATGAATACGCGAAGGCCTTATCAATTCTTGAACCTCTTTATCAAAACATTGAACCGATAGATGAGGTATTTTATCTTTACATTGTTTTTATTTTTTCAACATCTGTTCATCTCTTAGCTTGTTTTAATTTCTCCCCTTTTTATTTACATATGCGTTACAGACAACAGCTCTTCGTATCTGCCACTTGTTGCTGGATGTTGTGCTGGCTTGCCATGATGCTTCAAAATCTGCGGTAAGTTCTAAATATTTGTAGTGTGATACTTGGAATTCTTTCCAGTTAAAAATATTCATATCTGCCACTTGTTGCTAGATGCTGTGCTAGCTAGCATAAGTTAGAGATACAAAGCTAACTAATGCTCTTACAATTCTGATAAGCATTTTGTTAGAGAGATCAAAGTACTTGCCCATTAAGAACATTCGAATAGATGACCTAATTTGTTTAAATATTCTATTTCCTTTGATTTTAGGACTGACTCATCCATCAAAGGTTCTTGTCTTCTCTTGCATGGTCTCTGTTGGATGATTTGAAATGTTTTATTTCACAAACCATTAAAAAAGATACATTCTAATGATATTTTTAACATGAATTTTATGTAGTGCCAACTCCTAAAGGTATCGCCACTTCTATCAAAATGAAAACATTAAAAACATGCAAGATGTTCTTGCAAGAGAGTAGCTAACCATTTTTCCTATGTTTTTGGTATCCCCATCTTCGCTTTTTCTGTAATACAGTACTAGTTAAATCCTGAATATTGGTTTTGGTCCAACATAATCAATTATTACTAGTCATCTTGTAATTGCATATGCGAGTAACTATATCTAAACTGATTTTGGGCTTAGAGCCCTGATATATGAATTGCCTTATTAATTTATTCAAGTGTTTTTTGCTACTTGCTTGTATATATACTCATGTACAACATGGTACTTTCTAATTCGATATTGGAATAAGACTGTTCTTACCCGCTGAAGAAGAGTAGGCCGCTTATATTTTCCTTTTCAGGAAAGAGTTTTTATAATTTTCCTGGTGGTTAGTTCATTTTTATTTAAGTGTTTGTTGCTACTTGCTTGTATAAATACTCATTTACAATAGGATACTTTTCTATTTCTATATTAGAATAAGACTGTATTCTTATTTGTTGGTATTCCCACCCACTGAAGAATTGTTGGCCACTTCTGTTTTCTTTTGCAGGATTTTTTTTTTATAATTTGCCTGGTGGTTAGTTCATTGTTTTCTTGCAACTGTTAAAATTTCGCCCATACTACTATAATTGTTAGCAAAGATCTATTTTTACCAGATGCTGCAATTCAGATTCAATCTCTCTTCTAATTGTAACATTAGAAGGAGCATGTTCATTCATACTTGTCCTTACCTTGCTATGCATGTTCCTACTCTGTTTCAGCATTTTCTGTTGAACACCTTGAAACTGTCTGCAAATGCTTCTTTAGTTATTAGTTTTGCAATATGTGTTTATGTTTGTGTTGGTCCTTATTTCTTGTTCTGCTTTCTATCTCAATCTGTATGAATGCCAATTTTACCTATTCACAAATTTTTGTTAGTATAAGAGGGGATATGAGTGAGGGAGTAAGTAGTCTTGGATGTAAGAACTTGTGGTGGATTGATGGATCAGACTGATTACAATAGGGTAGCACCAAGGATTAGCATTGACTCGTTTTCTCTTTGTCATCGTAATGAATGAAATAATGAAAGGCATTCATGAAAAAAAAATACCTTGGTGTATGTCTGTATTCTATTTACAGATAATATTGTAGTGGCTGATGAGACTAAAGAAGGGGTTAATACCAAATTAGAGTTGTGAAGACAAACACTACAAGTTTGGGCTTTGTTTGAGTAGACCAAAAACTGAGTGTGAAGTGTATGCTTAGTAAAAGAAGGAATGACTATAACACATGATAACATTTGACGGACTAGTGATATGAGCAGCAGAATGTTTTAAGTGTCTAGGGACGATAATAAAGAACACAGGGACATTGATGTATATGTTAACCATTAGGTCAAGCCTGAATGGCTTTAGTGGAAAAGTGCATTAACACGTGTGTGATTGTAATATACCTAAGTTGAAAATGAAGTTCCATAGGATGACTTTCAGGCTTGCTTCGCTATATGGTACTTAATGTAGGTGAATGTATTCAAAAGATTAAGTATAGTTGAGATGTGAATGTTAAATATGATTGTGTAGTAAGATTAGGAAGTGCTGAATTACAAATGTGATCCGTCTCAAAGTTGGGATAACTCCTGTTGAGGATAATGGGTAAGAAAACTGCTTACAATGGTTTGGTCATAAGGACACATATTGAGGAATGAACTTCTGAGAAATACGGAGCAAATTGTCATTGGCCAAAATAAAAGATCGAAGGCTAGGCGACGGAAGCCATGGTTGGAAGTTGATAAATAATGATATGAAACAAATAGATTTAGAAGTTGAAAACAGGATGGTGGTAGATATAAATAATTGGAGGAGATTAGGAGAACCGTCTGCCCTATGAAAAATTATTTGTCTTGGTTTGTATAGGCTACCCGAATATATTGGAATTGAGGCTTGTCAGTCTGCTCTTAGAATCTGCCTGACTCGCTTTGAGGGTGTAAAAATTCGTGTTCAAATTGTAGGTGAAAATGGTGGGTAGTTTTCAAAAGTGGATAGTTACTTTTTCTAGCTTTAAAGGCAAAAACATTTGAACTTATATTTATTAGAATAACTTCAATTTTCTTTTGTAAATTCCCTGATTGACACTTGACTTGTTATACTTACTCAGGGTTTTATGTATAATGTAGATGAGATTGATGACTTTATTTTGTACTGAAAAGCGTGCTTGTCACGAAGATTATTTTAAGCAGTTGAACCTGGCTTGGTGACATGGGTTAGGCCTGTCTGTTGGATTCTGTTTTGGGTTGTAATTGGGAAGCAGATAAATTAGCTAAGGATGGGATCGGGTAATTGTAAGGGGATTTCAGTTTTATTAGGATACCCTCTATGTATAGGTGTACTGTTTTGTAATAGTTCTATATTCAATAAATTAAGGCACTCTTTTCCTCATTCCGCTAGATACTCTTTTCTAGAATTAACTAAGAGGGAGGCTTTTAATGAGGCCTATTATTCCTATAAAAACAAAAGTAGTTCAGACAACTGAACCCATTTTTTACATTCTGACCAAACTCCTATTCTGTTTTATCTTTTAGTACTCTATATCTTTTCTTGTTTGAAGGACTGTGTGCTGAATTATTGGTGACAGTGGTCTAACAATTATGGGCCATACATGGTTTGGAATTTATATAGGAAGATAATTCCTAGCATCTATCTTGAACTTTTGGCATTATCCTTTATGACATTCATTGTGGGTGTAGATGATTTTTAATGGCTGGTTTAGTGTTTGCATATTATAACTTTGATTCTAAACTGCTTTAATCATGTTTAGGATGTGTAAAATTATTTGGAGAGGGCATTCGGCGTTGCCAATGTGAGCCAAGGGGAAAATGGTAACACAGCTGTGCAACAATCCTTGAATGTAGTTGGAAAATCAGCCTCAGATCCAAACAATTCACTGGTCTCTGATGTTTCATGTTCCGACTTAGCTGCTGGTGTAAATGCCTCCTATAGTTCTCTATCTATATCTTTATCTGAGGATCGACTGGATGAAATGTTTTCTACAATGGATATCGGAGGACAGAACTTTGCAGGACGTGCTGGTCTTACATCTGCAAATGATCTAAGCAGGGTTACAGTGGATAGATCTATCTCTGGTGTTGATCTGAAGCTCAAGTTGCAACTTTACAAGGTTCGGTTTTTGCTTCTCACTAGAAATGTAAAGCTAGCAAAGCGTGAAATCAAGCATGCAATGAACATTGCTCGAGGGAGAGATTCATCAATGGCTCTATTCTTGAAGGCCCAGCTTGAGTATACTCGTGGGAACCATCGGAAAGCTATCAAGTTGTTAATGGCATCAAATAACCAGACGGATGCAGCAATGTCAAGCATGTTTATCAACAATCTAGGCTGCATTTACTATGAACTTGGAATGTATCATACATCTGCAGTGTTTTTTTCCAAGGCATTGAGTAATGGTTCATCTCTTTGGAAAGAGAACCCTCTATAGCTATTAACATTCTCACAGGATAAATCTCTCCACATAACTTATAACTGCGGGTTGCAGCACTTGGCCTGTGGGAAACCACTACTTGCTGCTCGTTGTTTCCAGAAGGCGAGTTTAATTTTCTACAAAAAACCCCTCTTGTGGCTTCGACTCGCAGAATGTTGTCTAATGGCTGCAGAGAAAGGGCTTGTGAAAGGAAGCCCAGCTCCATCAGACAGATCAGAAATTCGAGCCAGCGTTATAGGAAAGGGTAGGTGGAGGAAACTTCTAATTGAAAATGGAATTTCAAGAAAAGGACATGTAGTTTCTGTTGAAAAGGAGGATAGGGCTTTGGGTGGCGATGGGCAGCCGCAGCTTTCATTACCCATCGCTAGGCATTGCCTCTATAATGCGCTGCACTTGTTGAACTGTTCCGAGTCGAGTAATTCTAAGTCTGTTTTACCCTCCAACTTATCCTTGGAGGAGAATGAATCGAGTGATGGAGCATCTTCCAAGAACTCAAACCATAAGAACTTACCTGGGGACGATTCCAAGGCTTCAACTATGTCAGCAGCATTAATTAACTCGAATGGGGATTTGAAAGAGCCGAAAGGAGGAACTAATCAGGAGAGTATTCAGAATTCCATCTCCTATTATGAAGATAGTTGCAGAAGAGAAAATCATATGATTAAGCAAGCTGTTCTTGCTAACCTCGCATATGTAGAGTTAGAACTGGAAAATGCTTTGAAGGCGCTCTCTGCGGCACAATCTCTCTTGGAACTACCAGGTCGTTCGAGAATTTACGTCTTTCTAGGTCATGTCTATGTGGCAGAGGCTCTCTGTTTGCTGAACAAACCTAAGGGAGCCGCGGAGCACTTGTCCGTGTATCTGTCTGGGGAAAGTAATGTCGAATTACCATTTAGTCAGTCAGACTGTGAGCAGTGGCGAGTGGAAAAACATGGTGATTGTGAAGAAGCAAACGGAGGAGCATCAGGCGCCAAGAACCCTTCCCCCGAGGGCTCACAGGATTTCATCTTCTTCAAGCCGGAAGAGGCCTGTGGAATGCTTTACGCAAATCTCGCTGCAGTGTCCGCAATACAAGGTGACCTCGACCGGGCCCAACGTTTCATGACGCAAGCATTATCCCTGATACCCAACAGCAGTGAAGCCACAATGACGGCGATATACGTCGATCTCATGCTTGGTAAGTCGAAAGAGGCCGTGTCGAAGCTAAAACATTGTAGACATGTCAGGTTCCTACACTGCAATCAACAATTCAACAAACCCTCCTCATGATTGTGGGGGATGGGTTTCTCTAATTCAATCCAAAGCCAGCCCACACCATTCAGTTGCTAGTTAGCAGGTAGATCAACGATCCTTTTTAAAGGATTTGTATCGTATAAAATATAGTCCAATTCATTCCGATCCTTACCTTTCAATTTTCTTATTATCATTTATAAATATAATCTCCGAAAATGTTATTAAATTGCAGTCCGAATCCGGTTTTACAAAGTAACATTCAACAGACCTGGGATGACAATGGATCGGGTTGACTCGACCTGAGAAATATATTTCCTTAATCTAAACTCAATCTGACCCGATAAACGTATTTCCTCCACTCGAAATTTGATTTGGCGGGAAAAAATATAGAGAAATGTATTATAGTAATCTTTTTTAAATTCATAGAATAAAATTCCTAAATCGGGTCGAGTTAACGATTTTTTTACCCTAAATTCGGATTTGATTCGATTCGATCTCACTCTTGATATGATTTTTCTTTTAAAATTATCAAATCAAATCAAGTTAAAATTTATCGGATTTGTGTTAAATTACATCCCAACATACAATATGTTATTACATAACATAGAGATAAAAGATGACAAATGTATGATATAGTATGATGAGATAATATATTCCTTATGCAATAACAAATTTTCAAATTTTGATTTTTGCTTATGGGGCATATTATATTTAGAGATTCGTTCAGAATGAATTTTTATAAAATTTGATTTAAATTAATCGGTCAAAAATTTAAATAGCAATCATTAATTAAAAAAGTGGGGGCAAAAGTACCATAGGCCTAGAACTGGTCCCCTCTCTGCTGCCTGCTCCAATGCCAGCCTGCAGGGTATTACTGACTACAGTTCTCTTCAACTTTCCACCTCTTGTATGAGGTAAAAGGCAAAAGCAGCTACTACAATTCTAGACTGTCATCTCCTGAGCCTGATTGCCATATTGTGGTTGAAAATAGACCATCAGACCCATTGAACATGGTTCACCCAAATTTTCACCCAAATGTATTGGTACACACATTGTCCAGTCACATCCCCATTGCCACATTTGAATAATGCCAAAACCATATAGTATACCCCATGGTAGGGTCCTTAATTTTTTTCTCCAACCATTGATTTTTAGCTTACAAAATAATATACGATATGAGATAAGTATAAGATAGTATATGTTTAAAGGTAACTCTCAACCTTTTAATATTAAACGTTCATATCTCTTGCATATATTATGCTCGAACCCAGATCCTCAAGGAACAACAACAATTCTTTTACAACGAAGCTACTTGATTCGTGCATCTCTCGTTATAAATTTTAGTACATTTTTACATTTATCATTAATGCCTGAAAAGTTATGTTATAGTCACTAATATTTTCTGTTTATCACAAAATGATTACATGTCGTTAACTCATGTTAAATTTGATATTCGAGTAACTAATAAAAATGACTAATGTTTATTTTTAACCCCTAAACTATAATTAAAACTTTAGTATGATCCTTCGGGAAAATTTTTGAACAACCATTCTGAATTTTTTTCTTTAAAAAGTTAAAAATATAAAAAAAAATCTTGAAATTTTATGATTTTCCACAACAATTATCTTCATCCGGTTTATAAGTACACCGACAAATAGAGTGATTTCCACCCAAGGGATTTATAATTGTATTGTAGCTCTCTCTTGTATTTTATTAACCTACTTAAACTCACTAGTGTCTTTGTAATTGCAAAACTAGTGATGCGCATAGGTCGGCTCAGGTCAGGTTTTTATCAACTCGATCTGACCTGAAAAATATAAACCCTTCATACGAAACTTGACCCAATTCGAGTCTAGAAGTGACTTCACCCGAACCGAATACGACTCAATTTTTTTAGATAAAACTTGATCCCGACTCGAAATAAAAATATTATAAAAATATTATTTTTTCAATAAAATAGGGATCTAATTGAAAAAAAAATATAGATAATTATTATTATAATTATCTCTAAATATATAAGATAAGTTTACATTATTTTTTGGGTCAGGTATTTTTCACCATAAATCCGAACTCTACCCGAGCATATTTTATAAAAAAAACCTAACCTGAAACGAACCTAATTAATTTAATAAAAAATCCGACCTGATCAGATCAGGTCGAAACCCGTTAGGTTCAAGTCTCATGCCCATTCCTATTCACAACCAAAGAGTTTTGATTTTATGAGGGGGAAAAGGATTTTCTCGTGAATTCAAAAACATAAAATTTGATCCTTGAGGTTATGAGAATAGATCAAGGGAAAGTTGAAAAGAATCACCATTTCGTGTTAAATCGATAATATTAATGATTATAATCTCGGTGATTATAAAGTAGAATATCTTCACATTTTTTTAGTTATTGTCAACGTACATACAACCTATTAACACAATCATTAGAACCCAAAACTTCAAATTACGAATACATCGATTTATACGAAGTAGAGGTTTGGGTCCTGAGAAAGAAAAGCAGACATGGAAACATAAGAAAATCTTAAGTCGATGTCGGGGTCTGTCTGTCGTGTTATTCTTCAAGGGATTTTCCACCCTCCACCCATAGTTTCTTAAACTAACACTGTACCATACACAGTGTGCCAAATTTATGAAAAAGAAAAATATTAATAGTAAAATAAACAAATTTAATTAAACGATGTGTTGTTATATATATATATATATATATATATATATATATATATATATAATTTCAAGTAAACATGATTTTTTATGTCCTTTTGAAGCCCAGTATAAAATTTGGAGGTAAGTAGGGCAAACCAGCGGAGTCAAGTTCAAGTGTTGCCGAGCTGAATTTGATTTGAAAATTTTAAATAGAACTCGATCCAGTTCGAAAATTCGTGACCCTAAAATTATTAAACTCGACTCGAACTCGAAACCATGAATTGGAGCTCGAAAAAATTCGAAATGAAAAAGAAAATTTAAACTTAACTCGATTGAAACCTCAAACTCGAACCTGAACCTTAATTACGTGAAAACCCTTATATTTCTTTTTAAAAATCGACACATAAATGTTAATATTATTAATAATTTAATTTTTAAAAAAGTAAAATCTTAATGAATTATACTTTCGAGTTGCTCGTGAGTTTTTCGAGTCGAGTATCATATAGTTCGTTTATGCTCGTTAATAACTCGAGTCGAGAATGTATCGAGCTTTAACCGAGTCGATCTCAAATAATATACGATTTGTGTCGTCTCATTTATAAACCTATCCGAGATTACGTAAAAAAATTAATCGATTTATGTCCTTGATCATCTCTAATCATTATATTTTTAAACTTTTGTATTTTCAAAGTCTAATAATTTAACTCTTTTAAATGTTGGATCCTAAACATTATCATAGCACCGCTGTTTTTCTTATACTGTAAATAGTATTAAAGTATAGTCGTAACACAGTGTAATGATCACATCGTAATTTTTTTTAAGGTCATCGTGACACCACAAACAACAATCCGTAATATAAAATACAATTATTTTTAGTGAAAAAAATTACACCGTAACACCCGTAACCGCGACAAAAATCGTAACTACAATTTAGTACTATAAAACTGTAGCAGAAAGTTAATCCCAGAAAATCATGAAGTTAGAGAAAGGAAATTCACTTGCAAACAACTCTGGAAACTAAAACAACAATAACAACCGGTGATCACTAGTACAAGCTTCAAATCCAATCCAAATGAAGAAGAAAATGAAAATTCAAGCACAATGAAAAGCAAAAGAAGAAGAAAAGATGGACGACATCCTCTCATGTCGTTTTCATCATTGCATCCGTCAACCTAGCAGCAACCTGCAAAGTTCGTACACCCATGCACAAATCTGGTGAGCAAGAAAGTTCCCATAATGGAAAAATATGTAGATATAATGCTGTCGATGTGAACAAGTGAGTTATTTCGATCGTCGATGATTTATCCCTTCTGATTTGAACAAAAAATTATAACCGGTACAGGAACGACCATTGGTCCATAGTTTTCTGTAGGATAGATGAAGACTTCAGAGAGAGTGTATGAGTGGAGGAGTCTTCATCTGCCGTAGAAAATTATCGGTCAGTGATCATTTTTTGTATCGGTCACAACATTTCGTCCAACTCAAAATGGGTAAACCACTAACGACCGACCGACCGACACCATTCGGTTGTTGACGTCAACGAATATAAGCATTGAAGGTAAGTAGGTAACTCAACTTGGATCTAGAGAGGGCAAGTGTAACCAGGAGGGGGTGTTTTGCCGCAAGTGACGAGAAGCTGAAGGGCAAGCGGGACATAAATGTTAAGGTTGAGAACTTTGAGCTTCAAAGTGGTGCACAAACAGGCAGCGGCTTCCAGTTCCACAAGCCCTGCAAGAACCGGACAGCATGTGTTCACAACCGGGTCACCAAGCCCAATGTGCACCAACCCTCCCAGCAGATCCACACATGCACCCAATTTCAACGTGTCAATGGGGCAAGTGGGAGCCGACGGGCACGGTTTGCCACTCGGTGGCACCACCGACACCGGAGGGAGGTCGACGGGAGGTTTCACAATCGGAGGCACAGTCACTGGGGGGACGACGGGTGGCAAGTTGATCGGGGGTCGAACAATGGGAGGGATAGGAATGGGGCCTTTAGGGGACTTCCCTTTAGGGTTTCGGTGCTTCGGCGGTGGTTTGCCGCACGAACCGCAACCGAGGATCGGAGCGGCGGAGGAAATGAAAAGCATGCCAATGAGAAAGAGAGCTGAGATTTTGGTGAACTCCATTGCCAAAAAATGTGTGAAACTTTTGTAGAGAAGTAGGGAATTATATAAGAGTGGTGAAGAGTGGAAGAAAACGAAAACCAATTAGCCCTAGAAGCAGCATCACGTGAACATGGGCAGTGCTAGTTGGCAATGTATATCACTATGCCTTTATAATTATATGAACCTATATGACCTCATAAAGTTGCATTAAAAAAATTGTTGTTCTCCTTCGAGTTCGAGCAATTTTACTGGGTCTGTACGATTTCTTTAGGTGACTTCATCGATAAAATAAAATGTTATTTTTTTAAAAAAATTTAAATTCGAACAATTGTATCCGTAAAAATGTGCGTTATAAAAAATATATGCCTAACGTAAGCCCAAAACCAGCCTTGGGTCAAATACTATCAAAATTGAAGTCTAGCTGCATTAAAACTCGTAGCTTTTTCGAACAATTTTTATTTAGAAATCGGGGGAGCGGAATTTTTGCTCGTAATGAGTATTGAATTGGTTTTACAAAAGATGTTTGAATGGAAATTATGCCTTTTTAATTCAATAAAATTATGATTGTCGAACTAAAAAAACATACATTTGTCTTTTTATATTGAATAAAGATAAATATTTGTGCATACAATATGGAAACAAAAAATGATATGATATCGTCAATGACTTTATAGTATATAATTGTGTTAGCCTAATAATCACCACGAGAGAAATGGATTGGTATATACGTATAGTTTGGGATAAAATTAGAATGTTCAGAAAGTTTGGAGATTAATTTAGAACGAATGTCATAGTTTGGGGAATGAAATTGAAATGTTCAAAAGTTTTATGACTAATTTAAAATGAAAATCATAATTTATGGATGAAATTAGAATATTTAAAAGTTTAGAGACCAATTTAAAATGAGAGTCGTACTTTAAAGACATGCAGTAGAATTAACTCTAAAATCTATATTTATTACTACTTAGCTTTCCACCGCTAAAGATTTTCTAAGTTCACTAACTTTAATCGAACCTTTCAAGAAAAATATGTAATTTTTACAACATTATATTTTATAATAATTAAGATCTACTAATCGATTGAGTAGTGAAGAATGTTCATATTATTTTATCTTATGTGAATTGAAATCTCGATATTTACTCTGAATGTTATATCCTCTCTACTTAATAAAAAAATGAATAAAACTAATGTATTTTTATACTAAATCTACAATAAAAAGATATAAATAAGCAAGGAACAAGTGGTGAAAGAAGATGGTATATTTGGTTGTACAAAAATTGAGATGGAGACTTCACAGCTGATGGCAGATTTGGTTGGCCAACTTGTGGTCAAATCTAAAGGGAAAAAAGTTTCATGAGAGAGGAATGAATATGAATAGGGCTCAAAACGAGCCGGGTCGAGTTCGAGTATTACTGAACTCGACTCGACTTAAAAACTCTAAAAAAGAGTTCAACTCGGCTTAAAAACTCGCGAACCTAAAATTTTTAAACTCGACTCGAACTCAAAATTATAAATTAAAGCTTGAAAAAGATTAAAATAAAAAACTTAACTCGGTTGAAGCTCAAATTCAAACCCGAACCTTCCTTAAATACATGAAAATCTTCTACTACATTTATTTTACAAAATTAAAGCATAAATGTCATATTTATTAATAATTTATTTTTTAAAATAAAATTTTAATATATGATTTTTTTGAATTGTTCGTAAGTTTTTCGAGTCAAATATTAAATAACTTGTTAAGAACTTAAGTACCTAAATTATCAATTTTAATCTATTTTAGTATTTAAAACTTCTAATTTTTTTAAAATTATACCTAAAGTTTAATTTTTTTTCATTTTAATATCACACCCTTAAAAACTTAACGTATTTAGTACGTAAACTATTAGTTTTAGTCCATTTTAGTAACCAAACGTTCAATTTTTTTTTCAAAACTTAATGTTAAATTTTGAACGAATGTACAAAACTAAAACTAAAACTAAAACTTTAGATATGATTTTGAAAAAAAAAATTAAATACTAAAACGGACCAAAACTGAGCTGATAGTTTAGATATTAAATGCATAATTTATCGAATAAAATTTTGGGTTTTAGGGTTTCAAAACCATGGATTTGGGAGGTTCAGCTATTAACAAAATGAGGGGGGAATAAGTACTTTTTTTAATACAACAACCAACATAAAAACAATGTGTTTATTTTTTTTTGGCTTTAAATTTCCAATTAAATTATTCATATAATAATAAGAAAAAAAACATTGATTCAAAACATACAAATATTACAATTGCTACACACAGGGGACTCAAATGCCTATGTATAAAGAATTTCAAAATTGGCAGAGATAATCAAACCTTCAAGATCTCTTGGCAACAACAGTTGCAAAGAATGGATGGTGGCTCAACTCAAATGACACCTTCAGTGATGGGTCAAGTGCTCCTAACCTGCATATCAGATCTTGAGCAGCACTGTTGTGTTCTGCAACGTGCTCTAGTTTTTGGAGTTCCGCTAGTCTCTCCGGATCGTTCGAGAAACTACTCTTCACCTCCTTCGCAATCCTCTGAGCATCCTTGAAGTAATTATACATTGCTAGAGTCTGGATTAAAAGGTAAACCGAAGTTCAATGCATGAGAGAGAAGAAAAATAAGAGTCCCGGAGTGCGGTTTGATTAGGGAGAGATCTTATCCGATACTCACAGAAAAACGAGCATGAGTTGTTGATTCCTTGTATGACGGATACGAGAAGTGATCAGGAATGCAGGCTCTCTGTAAAAGCTCAAAATGCTGAGCAAATTTCTGGATAGAAGTTAACAAGGTTCAGAACTTAATACAATGCAGTTAATGAAAGTAGCAACACATTCTCGATGTAATACTGTGTTTGTGTGCGCAAATATCGAGTGTAATACTTAACCTCCTGCTCGGTATTAAAAGGGCCTGGACTCTGGAAGAGTGAGATTTCATTCCTCAAAGCAGCAAGCATCTGGAAAGAAACTGAACGGATTAATAGAGAACATGAGTTGACATTATTGAAGCAAAATATTGATACAAGAGACGAGCATCATCTGCTGTTTATATACATGTTCGGCCTAATCGTAAACCAACTTCTTCTACAGAAATCTGCAGTTTAAACCAAAAACGACAATGGCTTCGCTTGGACTGGAAGACTATTTCCTCACAGAAAAATGAGGAAATACAACACGGTTGGTTTAAACAGGAGGATTATGGCTTCTCACAATCACTAAAACATCACAATTTCCAGATAAAACAATTAATGTTACCATTGTAAGTCCTTCAGCAAGAAATATGCAGCATTGAAGGAACGTGACTGCTGGCGGGATTCGAGATTCCCTAGCCAAATCTTTGGGAGAATCCTTTTTCTTCTTCCCCTTCCGTTTAGCTGATCATAACACCATTCATAAAATCGGTCATTTAGAATGGCATGCAGGTCATAGATAGGAAAAACAAAATACTCAGATTTACAAGTCGATCAATTGATGATACTTCATTTACTCATTTTGGATGTGAAAATTTAACAAAAATGCTTGTGCCTCGGAGACAATATCATAGCAAAGAGGGAGTACCGGTGTCATAGCTGACAGCCATCTTAAGCTGAGTTTTCTCTGCAAGTTTGATTAAGACAGCATACAAGTACCAATATACCATGCAGTATTCACTGGTAGAATAAAGTTCCAATTCGAAACCCAATATGAGAAATCGAAAAGTTATCCAGTAGGTTTGCTCTTCCACCCAAAGGAGGATATGTTGGAATATTTTCATGCATACATTCTGCAAACCGCAAGGAAATTTTTGTCAAGCATCAAAGCATACGAAGAAAATTGATAAAAAGGTGTCCCACAGAATATACAAAGGAAATTTTAAGTCTCTGTGATTTAATCATATTGTCCCTGTATTGTTTGGGCCTGGACTGAAAGTTCAAAATTTGAGAAGTACAGGGACTAAAACTGTTCAAATTAGAGTACAAGAACTAAATTCACAACTTACACATAGTATAAGGACTAATGATAAAATTTGGCCAGTGTGAACCATGGAAAATAAAAAGAAAACAAGAAAGAGCAACACACCTCATCATTTGAACTGCGGCTTGAGACTTCTCCAAACTCATTTCTTAAAGCAAGCTCAAGCTGATAAATAGAAGACACGACAAAAGAAAGAACGTCCGATTACTGAGCCAAGTGGCACATGAAGCAAATAAATAAAAAAAGCTAGATTTACTCTAGCTGTTGATATTTTACAAAGTCAAAATGTACAATAATAGGAAAAGGAGGGGAAAGCCCTACAATCAAAGGACACTAGCCAAAAATAATCCTCAGTGAAGCAATCCCATCACATCAGCCATTAACAGGTTAATGGCTCCTTGCGATGGTTCATCAATAGTTCTCAACCCCATATGTTGCCTTAAGCTTCATTTAGCCAATTAATCAGCTACAAGTTCTTTGTCTTGGAATGTGATGTAACTTCCAAACCCAATTCTTTTTATCATTTGTTTGATCTAATGAATCAGACAGAAGCGGGGGTGGTGTTTCATCGACTTCATAAGTGAGTGCTTTAAACATGCAGACACTAATAATAAAAAGGAAAAAGGAAATTAAGAAAATTATGCATGCAAACAATACAGTATTCAGGACTACTTATCCATTAGTTATGTCACTGATAAAGGTAGAGCAATCCCATGATAAAAATCACGAGAAAAACAGCACAGCAAAGGAAATTAGATTTGATAAATCTAAACCGAACAAACAGAAGTGCGACACATGCACGAGGTAAGATTGTATGTGTTAGAGAGGAGAGTGACAACGCAATGAGATATTTGGAAATCTGACACAATACAAACCTGTACATAGATAACATGCCAATCTTGCAAAAATTTCCCAAGCTTACGCCTCTGCCAGGCAGCATTTGTACAAAGTATTTTGAGCAAATTCATTACCAACTGCAAAATAATAGCATTGCACACTCATTAGATGAAAGCACTACATTATTTAAGTTAGGTTCAATAACATAAGCTTAGCATTGTGATCAAGACAGTAGCCTTATGTTT